AGACTTACACCAGAGAAAGAGCTCCTTCCTCTTTCTTGGCTTCAATGACAGCCACAGAAGCCTCATCCTGAATATTGGTACTGCGGGTCAGTACTGGGGTCAGAGTCCTTTACCAAGGTCTATTTCAGAGGTCAGTAGCCTGCCTCTTGGAAATCACCAAGTAAGAATGATGGGAAGACCACCTACTACTGGAGGAAACTCCAGGGTTCCAATAAGGCCATTGCATTGGCCAGTGACCTGCTGGCCAGTGCCCATGGGGAGACCAGCACTAAAATTCAGGGTTACATATGCTGGGTACTGATTGTGCATAGGATTCCTCTTTAGCCTTAAAGGAGGAGTCCACTCAGAGACCACAATGGTATGCCATCCACCTCTCCCTCTCTGTGGCGCTGGAGGGACATGGACTGGCAATGGACTAGAGGTGGCCGGGGTGCCAATCAGAGCTGACTTCTCTCAAAGTTATCTGAAATCAGCTTGATGGCTTCTTATTCTTTCCTGCTTTTGGTCATCAGTGGTGGCAAATGTTCCATCAGAGTCAAGGCGGTGGGGACCAGGAGAAACAGCAAATCCCTGGATGCTTCAAAAGGCTCTGGTGTCAATGGGACAGTCAGACTGCTGGTGCCATGGTGACTCCCAGATGTCAGTAAAAAGTACCACACTAAATTCAATACTCTGGTTGTAGTACCATCATAGGGCCAAGGATGTAACAGTGGTTGAGGATGGGTCTCACTGCATTGCTGGATTGTCTTTTTGGACCCCAGTGAGTACGCTCTTTTGGTGCACTGTGTTTTGTTTCTCTTCGTTAGCAACAGAGATGATGAACACTGTCAGGAAGAGCTCAATGCTGGAGGAGCACTTTGCACTGATGCCAAAGTGCTCTACACTGAATCACAGCAGCTTGGCTTTGAGGTGGGTCTGATGGAGGCTTCCACGAGAATGTCTTCAATGTCATCTCTCTGACATTTTCAATGTGGGTGTAAAGTCCCAAAAGATTTTGCACTTGTCCCTCATGTGAATACTTCAAGCAAGCATAATGCTCCTGGGCACAGGTTTGCCACAGAAGGCATAAAGTTGAAGCCCAGGGACTGAGATATGCTCTACCCCTGGGATGAAGAAGTCCCTTGACAATAGGGACTATTTATTGGATATGTACACAAATACTAATTACAACAATATATATTAAACTATGATAAACCAAGAGTTAAAATCCAAAAAAATCACCGGAAAGAGGTTTTGCTGAAGGAAAAAGAGTGGTTCCAGCAACCATTACAGGTGCCCCTTTTACCAACATGCAATTCCAGAGGGAGTTGGAGTTGGCTCTGACACAATGGATATCATTGAGAGAAAAATCTTTGACAAGAGTGCATGTAACACATGCACACCTAACATGGAATGAAGATGAGCAAGCACTCGAAGATGAAACTTTTTTATGAGTTGCATACACATTAATGATATATTGCCTCTGAATATCCCATTTAAGTAAATGATACATTTTTTAATGATAGCTTGTCTATCATTGTCTGCTCAAAAATAAAGTGTTCCTTCAATATGGTTTTAGTTACTGTGACACTGAGGCATAGTAAAAAAGTGAGCTAAATCCTTCAACTCCCATTCAGAATATTTGTATTAGAAAGTGCAACAGGAACTGACAAATATTTAGTATAGGGGATTCATGAGCCAGAATGCTTCAAACTTTACTTTCAGACCCTACACGGCATTTGTAAAACAGAGTTTCAAAAAAATTCTTACTTACAAACTGAAGAAATACTGTCAAATTCTTGAAGCCCCTTCCCTCCCAGAAATCAATTATGACAATTTTACAAAGTAGTTTTTTTAGAGTATTTTTACATTCTGAAGTTCTACAGGCAAATGGATTCTGAAACAAAAACAATCACCAAACATCCACTGAAAACTTTTGAAATCTCTGAAATTAGCACGATGGCTGATAAAATTTGAAATGTTTACTATTAATTCCACTGACTTTGAAACGTGCATCAGTGAACATTTCTATATGTAAAAAAGGCCAAACTGAATGCCAGTAGCTTATTATAGCATCATAATATTAAAGGTCTGCATGTGTTTCCTTTCTAATGTCTGTTTCTTTGTGGTGTATGAATAACATATTAAGGAAATTTCATAGTTAAAGTTTAACTTCACCTCTAAATTTGTGGAAGCTAAGTTAGTCCTTTGTGAGAGTGTGAGGGGGGAGTGGGAGCAGGAGGTTAAAAGAACAGGTATTTTATTTTTTAACTTTTGAGTATTCCGATAAGATGTTTGTGGATTATGATGATGTGAAAAATCATAGCTATCATATTTCATTTTTGTAACATTGTTCTGAATCTTTCCAGGTGTATCAAAATCAGAGCTTCAGTCTAGAAATTCCATATTGGATTTTTGCTGCTGTCTTCTAGAAGAACCGGTATTGGCTTTCTGGGAAAGGCTTAATTTATTTAAGTTTAAAATTAACCAATGTTATTTTCTTGTCTGCAAATGAAGCTGGGAAATAGGAACACACTATTTTTAATACATGCTGTCTGATACTGACTCATACTGTGGTCTTTGGAAGGTTGCTAAGGGCTATGATTAGTATAGGATTTTGAAGCTGAATAGTGATATAGATGAGCTAAGAATTATTATACAAATAGATTTCCAAAAAGAAGTGTTGGATTCTGGCATGACCTTAACATAAGACAACACAATAACATCAACTGAATTAAGTCAGGTTTCCACAAGGCTGTGCAAGATTTTCCAGAGCGTCATGGAAGCTGTGAAAATCCTAGCCACCATTTTTAAATGAAAACTCTGCCCCAGCCCTGAAATCCCTTTTTGAAGTTCTAGCTTTAAATTAAAGTAACAAATTCCTACTGTACAAAAGGCAACACTACAAGTACTTTTTGAAAATGAGGGACGAGCAAATGATTTAAATGCTTCACAAACACCCATAGAGACTTGCACCTCAGAAAGAGACTGCAAAATTGCAGCCATGAACTCCCCTCTTCTGCAGGGCAGGAGCACAATGCATTTAAACTCAACACTCAAACTGGTACAGCTTATCAATATCTGTTCCTAAAGTCAATCTAATTACGCAACAATTCTCTTTAGAACTTCTGCGCACAAGAAAAAGTTGCGTTGGTGAATAGAAAAGTAAGTGTGCGGTTATATAACCAGAAATATATTTTTCTTGCACTATATAATAGCTAGTGTAAAATATATATTTACTGTGGCACTAAAATAAAAATAATCTGTATTCATCTATTCTCAGCTGTTTGTTAAGAATGCTCCTGGTCAGGCCTTCTCACCCACATGGGGGGGAAAAGGGGACAACTGCCCCAGAGCCCACAATAGAAGAGGACCTGGCCTCCCATCTGCCACCACTGATGGACACCCAGGCCCTTTAAATTGCCACTGGGATGCTGAGAAGTGCAATCCGGGTGGCTCTGAGGGCTGGAGTGGACAGGCATGGCACCCACCCTCCACCCCTTCCATCTGAGTCCCTGCCCCTTCCGGGACTGCAGAGCTTTCCCTCTGTCTCCCCCTCACCCCACACACACACTTGTGCAGGGGCAGTCAGCTCCCCTGCTTCTGGTCATACAAAATTTCTTCTGTTAAGATGTAAAGGTGACACAGCCTTCTTGATGGTGATAGCACTGCACCATAAGAGACTGGCAGGTGAAGCAGACTACCAATGCAACACAAAGCAGGATACACTTTGCTGTACTGGCTTCTATGGACATTAAAAGAGTTTCATGTCAAAAGGATAACTGAACAGACTTATTCAGATTAAGTCTAATACCAATACAACTAGTACAAAATGCTGCAGCACAACTCCTCTACAACTCAGGCTTAAGTGAGCGCATCAAACCGGTCCTCTACCCTCTACACCAGCTTTCCACAGTACTGAAAACCAAGTTCGAGGTCTCAGACCTTATCCTCAAAGTGCTCCATTTCTTGTGCCCAAGATACCTAACAGACTGTCTAAAGCTCCAGGAGAAAGACTGTAGTCAAAAGATTCGCTCCTGTGGCACACTGGAACTCTGAGCAGGAAGAGGAAAGCATGTCCATGGAAGAGAGAGAACCTCAGCCCATGGAAGGTCTGAAATGCTTTCTTCTCCCAGCACAAGGCACATTTCTTTGACCCTGACATCTCATGTGAACTCATAGCAACAGGTGTATTTATTTAATAAACAAAGGAATATACAAACCAACAAACAACTCCTATCAAATCAAGACACTTCACTGCACACACCTCTCCCTTTGATAAGAGAGAACAAACAGCACGTGGCAGATGGGGTCATGAGGCTTAATGCATTGCTGGAGATCCCCTCAGGTATAAGAACAAGAGGGACATAAGAATTTAGAGGACAGAACAGTGTTTTATGGAGAAACATTCATTATCTTAGTGAAGTTTTATCGTTCTGAACTCAAACATGAGAAAAATCATCTCCCTTTTAAATAAAGTACTAAAAAGCATATAAAAGTATTTTAGATATGAGGATAAGCTAAACACAGTGAATGACTGTAGCACAAATTGTCAATCACATGTTAGGGCATGGCTGAAGTGCACTCTGGTAGAACCTGAAGCCAAGGAAGAATTCATTTTCTAGGTTAGTGATATTGTTGCTGTTCTCTGCCAGGGAATGATAACTGAATTTTAGCCATTGTATGAAAACAGCCCTGCTACCAGATGCTTCCTGGAAGATGCATTAATTTAGTACAGCTCCAAGATGCCACAGGCAGCTCTTCCCACTTTGTGAATTATGACACATGGCTCCAAGCCTCTTAAAAATGTGGTGCATATACAGCACTACTGCTACAACTGGTCTTCTCAACAACAGAACCCAATCAGTACAGTAGGTCCCATTTCAAGCCTGAAGTAAATGTATACAGCCATTCTGAAGACTGGATTTTAACACGGCAACACTGACATTAACTTTGACACAAAACACACACACCTATCATTTACAGAAGGTAATTAATAAAGTGTTATAGGATGATCATACCATAAAAGCAGCCAGACTCCTTTGGGGTGAATCCCAGTCAAGGCAACTGTTAACATAGTAGGCAGCATTTATGAGCACCATGACACAACGCTTCATGCGGATGAAATTCCGTAATAGCAACTGTAGGAAAGATGAAGAGATGTAAATCCATTCAGAAAAAACAAGACTTTGAACTATTAGGAGAGCTTACATCATCTTTAAGATCATTCTTATTAAAGCAAGTTGAAAACTAGTTTAGTGTACAGATCTAGACTATCAGTATGCAATGAAGAATGGAAAGGGGGAATGAATCTAGACAGTCGTACAGGTCAGTTTATCACCTGTTGAATTTAACTCTAAAGTTTATCATTTTGAATGCCTTTCAAATGATTGTGTTATCCCAGACATTTCAAATATTGTGTTTAAAAATATAAACAAGAATATGAAAGGTCATTTGCAAAAATTCAAGCATTATTTGATCACTGAAGTTTGGAAGTTCAAGTAAATAAGTTGACAAAAATTTTCAACATTGGGTACCTAAAATTAGGCTCTGCAGTCTACCTAAAATTAGGCTCTGCAGTCTATATTTAGGCAGCCAAGTGACTGGCTTGATTTTTCCAAAGTGCTGAGCATACTGTAGTTCCCAAGTACCTCAATGTAATTTGAAAACATCTTGGCCTTTATTTTAAAATTATGTACAAACCAGAGCTCTAATCAAACAGAGTTCACCTATATTCAGTACATCCAATTTCCCCCCTTTGCTCTAAAGTATCTTTCTATAGTTGCTTTTGCAGGTCATCCTGTATTTTCTAGCATTTATCACTGTAACCTTAACTATATCTGCACAAAACCAAGCCATGAGGAGGAATAGGTTTCAACTCACAGTGAAAACTCTTTAAATTACCTCAAATGATGATACCTAATTTGTAAGAGAATGGAATGTAATGATGATTTTTTAAATTTAAGTTTTGAATTAACACATTGAATGTAATCTGTGAAAGCAAAATCCCAATGATCAGGAAATTTAGACATTCTAAAACACTCCTGTATCTCTCTCTATTTCAAGACCTCTCTTTGTAATTTTTAAACTGTCCTTTTCCTTTATATGATGTATTATAAGTTAATACCCTAAAGCTAAGGGAGGGTATTTAAAAAGTTGATTGCCATTGCCAACTGCAAGTACAATAATGATCATTTTCTGTTAAGAAAGTAGGGAGAACAAACAACTCTTGAATAAAAGGCCTTCTTGTTTGTTTGCTGTAATGATGGGGGGTTGGGGAAAAGCAGTTCTAGAACTGCTTTCCTTACAGTAGTGAAGACAGACAAGTATTTTGCCCTTTACAATCTCTTTAGTGAAATACAATGGACAGTGCATATATAATTCATGTGGCAGATACTGCAAATCATATTAATGTTTATGAAGGCTCATTACTACATGAATAGGCTACCATCTAACAAAGTAAAATTATTTAAAACCATCCACATACCTAACACAAACTACAATAAAAACTCTACTCTTCACAGCCTGAATACTCAGCTCCCCATAACTAAAATACAGAACTGTGGAAAGTAAAAAATACATCCAATGTAATTTAGGATAAAAACTTAACATTTGTCTTTATAATAATTACCAGAAAATATTGTAACAAGGAGGCAAACATATTTGAAAAGGAAGATGGGTTTCTGATCAGACACCCCTGAAAACTTGTAGGTTACTTGATTTTGGTTGTCTCATTTGAGATTGTAGTAGAACAAATTAAAACCTAGCTAAAGCAATGTTAATATACTCCTTATATGTGAAACAAAATGGAATACTTTCAGATTAAGGTTAAGGGCAAAAAATTGTGACAGACTAAATTTACGCCCACCTGTGCTACAACCTGACATGTGTGGACACACTATTTCTATAGAGTTCTTCCCCACAAATTTCCTGGAAATCAAATTGAAATTTACAATGAACTGATACATCATAATATATGTATATATGGTTTTCTTTCTTCAATCTCACTATTTAGTTTTGTAACGGATAATGGAAGTGTAATTCTTTTTCTCCTCTGAAGTTTGACATGAGGTGTTTAGAAGCTTACACCCAATAGTAAGTCATTGCAAAAGGATTATTTTTTTCCTACACTTTACCTGTTTAGACAGTCTGTTTTCCTCTTCAATGTACTTCTGTTCTTTGGGCATTAATGTTCGTATGCCGGCTTTTACCTATACATCAAAATGTGTGTCAATGTTATTAATTTACTTAATACTTACTAATAATACAGACTTCAATTTTAAATAATTAAGTTTCAAAGTCGTAACTGCCAAGCCCATAAAATATAAAAATATATATAGGCACAAGTTCCTATATCTTACATTATCAGAAATAGCAGCAGCAGCACAGCGTAACAAAAAGAGTGGGTGTGCCAGGCAGTGGCAGAAGAGTATTCTGTAGTATACATCAAGGTTTAGAGAGAATGAAGAATGACAGAAATTCTCTACAAATCAGGAACAAAAGCTTTCATGAAACTGAACTCTTTAGCAGTACAAAAAAGCCAAAGTTAAGACTTACAGCATTAAAAATCACATCTATTTCAAGATAGATGACCCCCTTTGTTGGCCCTGTCAGCTGCTTGTTTTTCAAGACGTAGGCTTTCTGTTCACCATTTTGAATCTGCGGGAAAAGGACATGACAGCCGTCTGTCTCGCGGTCTCCACTGAATACACTTCCACAGTAACCTTTGACCCCCAGCTGCTGAAACTGACAGAGAACCCAAAACAACTGTGGCAATTCTGACAAGTACCTGTTCATTACCAGGACCAAGTCTGTCAGGAAAAATTAACTATCATGGGATTCAACATGGCCGTGAATTGAGTATGTTAAAAATTTTAGTGTTCTTATTACAGACCTTGGTTGAGAAATGACAGACAGAGCGGAGATATTTTTATGTTTTTCTTAAGCAAAAGAAATACAGTGCAATATGTCAGGTGAATGAAACTTACAGACAGCAATGGTATGGCAACTTTGCCCAGAAAGTCAGCACTCCGATCTCTATCTTCGTCATAAACTGTCACTTCAAGAACTGAGTGGACATCTTTAATATTGCTATTCAGGAAAAAAAATATACAGAG